CTCTGGAGAGCCTAGAAGAAGGACCTCCAATATGAGGCCTCGGGAGTCGTCCTAGACCTTTCAGCTGGAGTGACTTGGTTAGAGTTGCATTTTATAAAGAAGCCTCTGGCCTCTGTAAAAGGAGTGGAGATTGGAGAGTGAAGGTACAAGGCAGAGACTTCTCAGGAGGTTGTAACAACAGTTAAGGGCACAAAAAGCGTGACCCAGAAGGAAGGTGGCAGCCACAATGGAGTGTTTCTGAACCTTAGTTTCTTCATCTGTAAATGGGAGGGTTGTAAGGATTATATGAGGTAATACACATAAAGTGCTGCCACATAGTAAGCAGTCTATATAATTGTCAACTGTTATTGAGGTAGCTGACTTAGTAAGTTGTGCAGTTAGTATTTGACCTCAGGTCAACCTGAATCCAAAGACCTTGCTTCACCATTGGGAAATAATGAGGTACAGTTGCTCAGGAAGTCATCTCCTTCCATTGTCCTTGCATCCTGATTCCTCTCTCAGGAGCAGAGGAGTGCAGGGAGAGAGGCTGCTGGAATTCTGACATTATTCTTCCTTCTCCCCAGATAACCGAGACCCAGAGGCTGGGCCTGGCCACAGTCCTAGCAGTCAACACCACTTTCCTGAGGAAGTCCCTGCAGGCCACCCTGAGACATATGGCCCCCTGACCTTCCACTAAGGGACCACCCTCCTAGAGCTCCCTCATCAGCTTCCTGAACAACACTTCTGCCCTCAGCATCTCACCCTGACCCCTTGTCTGGGGGTAAAGACTGAGCCTGACCATCCCAGGGATCAACTGCCTCCCACTTCCAGGCTGCAGAGAGGCTATCTTGGCCTCCCAACCAGCAGGGAGGATCCTAAGCTGAGGAGGCTGGATGAGCTGGATTTCGAAGGGCTGTTGACTCTTCCTGGCTCCCTCCTTGTTACTTCTCCCTCAAGCTGCGGACAGAAACTTTCCTATAGGCCTCTGTAGAGTCACAGCTGACCCAGAGTAGATGAAAGATGTTCCAGCAGCCCTGGGAGACCTGTATGCTTAACACAAATCTCTTGTGCTCAAGTATATATTATGATCCTCTGTGTTCCTGTTTCTGACTTGAATAATTTATCAATGGTATTTAATAAAAAGGAAGTTCAATGATGTCATAATAAAAGTGCCTGCCTTCCTATTAACTCTGGGTATTTGTTGAAAACCAACTCACCATCATTCCACCCTGCTCAGCAACAAGGGGCATCTTTTTTTCTGGGCAAATGTTCTGTGAAGGGAAGGTAGTAGAGTTCTGAGGTTCGTTCATTCACATTTTATGGGCCAGAAAATAAACCACCCGACCCAGCCCTATTAGCTGTTGAGTAGGTGAGGTGGTCGGCAACCACTAGGGGAGGGCGGCTGAAGATGGGAGTGACTCAGTCTGGAGTTGGGGAAGGCTTTTGGGCAGAAGACTTGATTAGGAATCAGATCTCCTAGGGTTACTGTGGGCAGAAAAAAGGATGGGGCCTGTTGGACAGAGGAAAGAGCAGAAAGGGTATGTAATACTGAGGACATGTCTGTTTTATGTCTTTTATTCCCATAGCACCTAGCTAGACACCTTGTTCATAGTAAACAGTAGATAACATGTTATCGAATCAACTATTAGGTGAAAGTCATTACAGTACCTTCCTAGCTCTTCGCCATTGCAAGCTTTGAGGGGCCAGGAACAACTTTATATTTCCCTTCCCACAACTTCCTCCGAAGACCTGAGCCCCCATTAGAACAAGAGGATGAGGAAGATTAGGAGTTAAAGCGTGCTTTTGAGAAGAGGCAGGTGCAGAGGGCAGGAGGTAGTGGGCAGAGTTGGTCTAAGCCAAAGGACAAACATGCAGGAATTGTACGCTCTCGGCGGCCATCACCGTGCAGTGCCCAGAACGTGTGACATCTGAAGCTCAAGCCCAGGATTTAGCCTCTTCCCTAAGGGTCTGCCAGCTGCTGGCGCAAAAGGGGTATTTTCAGGGTGTTGCGGGACGTCCTGGACTGTAGCCTCAGGTCGTCCTCGCGCTGGTCTAGCGGTGCCACGCGCGGCATCGCCCTCCAGCGGCGGTACACAGCGCTGAGGGGGGAAGCCACAGGAATAACGCATCTCTCGCGATAACAAGGTTCCTATTTGAGCGCATGCGCGAGCTGAGTTAACCTCTTTTCCGGTTTTTGTGGCGCGCGGCATCATGAGGTGAGTGCTATTCAGGATACTATCTGTGCTCATCCGCACCTCCGGGCGCTCCCATGGGGAGGGAGACCCTGCGAATGGAATCGGGAGTCCTTGCCCTTGCTTCGCTGAGGCGCATTTCTTGCCTGGCGTCGGCCTGCGGGCCCCGCGTTCGACTTCGCGCGCCCAGCCCGGCCGCCAGTAGGGTCTCTTTCCCGGGGCCTGCGCCTGATTCTCGGACCCAAATCTCCCGACTCGGTGTCCAGAATCCCCCAGTGTGAAAGCCTGAGGCTTCTGATCACATCGGCGTCCAGGTCCTGAGTGCTCGTCTTGCTTCTTTTTCACAGCAGCAAAGTCTCTCGCGACACCCTCTATGAGGCTGTGCGGGAAGTCCTGCACGGGAACCAGCGCAAGCGCCGGAAGTAAGCGCGGGTCCCCACGGGAGAATGAGCGCAAGGGGGATTTGGGAAGCCGCGGGTGGCTATTTAACTTGTTACTTTTTGTTAAGGTTTTTGGAGACGGTGGAGCTGCAGATCAGCTTGAAGAACTATGATCCTCAGAAGGACAAACGCTTCTCTGGCACCGTCAGGTTGGCACCGTTCTGACCCCACCCAGCACTCAGTGCCCCCCGTGCCCTGCTACTCTCTTGAGGCTCCTTTTGAGCCCTTGATGGGCAGGCACGTGCTGCACTGAAGTGCCCGGGTAGTTCAGACCCTCTGCTTTGGGCAGGTGCGGCTGGACGGACCCCCACCCTGGGTCTTAAAACAAGAGGGGAGGCGTGGGGAGGCCTTGGCCGAGCCCGCCGGCTAGTTTGAGAAGCCAGACTAGCTGTTGGTGAATGTGAACGCTCTGGGTAAGGCTCAGTGTCTGCAGCGGTCCCAGACCCGTTCACCTGCCCTTCGGACCCAGGGCTGGACATGACCTGTTCTGTCCCCAAAATGCAGGCTTAAGTCCACTCCCCGCCCAAAGTTCTCTGTATGTGTTCTGGGGGATCAGCAGCACTGCGATGAGGCCAAGGCTGTGGATATTCCCCACATGGATATCGAGGCATTGAAAAAACTCAACAAGAATAAGAAACTGGTCAAGAAGCTAGGTGAGTGGCCGGTGTGATTTTGTATTGGGGTGGGGACAGATAATTCTTATGGGAATGGTAAAAAAATGATATTTCTACCATTTGCATTATAAAATGACAAAGGAGGTTTATAGGATCTGCTGTGGTTGATTAATTCGAGTGGTATTTGTTAGCCTTATGAAGGGTCTTTTCATATTTACTTTTGAGGATTGAATTTTATAGGGAAGGGAGGCCAGGTGGTAGTTCTTTCTAAACAGATGACAGTCTGTTAAGTTGATAAGTCAGGTCCTGGTGTGTTCTGAATTCTGTATGCGCCAGTTTTAATTTCCTTTTCATATATGGTCTAAGCATTTTACAGATAAGAAACAGATGCAACAGTTGTCATGTAGCTGGAAAATAGGAAGGTAGAATTTGAACCCAGGCAGTTTTAACTAGAGTGCATTTTCTGTTGCAATGTGAATTGTGGGTCAGCCTAGGACTGCATTTCGTATGAATATTGGATCAGTAAAAAGTTCAGAGGATGGAGAAGATCAAACTGGAATCAGGAGAAGTGTAAAAAGACTTGGTAACCTAAAAGAGGGGTAGAATGTTGGTTAGTGGGCATATTTGTGGTTGGCTCACAGATCCCTGTTTAGAGAGCTGCTTTTCAGGGTCCTAAGCATCCAATGGCTTACTCTTTTTGCCAGCCAAGAAGTATGATGCCTTTTTGGCTTCAGAGTCTCTGATCAAGCAGATCCCACGAATCCTGGGCCCAGGCCTGAATAAGGCAGGCAAGTTCCCTTCCTTGTTGACCCACAATGAGAACATGGTGGCCAAAGTCGATGAAGTGAAATCCACAATCAAGTTCCAGATGAAGAAGGTAAGGAGTTAGAGTCCTGTTTTGCATTTCTGTGGGTGCTTTGGATATGTGATAGTCCCTGAGCAGGGTTGAAGCTTTTCATATATCTCCAATCTTCCTGGCCTGGGTCCAGAGCACTGCTCAGTAGGTCAGTAGAAGGGAAGGATGGGCCATCTGCCTTGTAGTTATGCCCACTCTTTCCATGTTCTCTTGCATCTAGCCGCCAATTGATTCGACCTTCCTTTTCTTACAGGTGCTATGTCTAGCAGTGGCCGTTGGCCACGTGAAGATGACAGATGATGAGCTTGTGTATAACATCCACTTAGCTGTCAATTTCTTGGTGTCATTGCTCAAAAAGAACTGGCAGAACGTCCGGGCTTTATACATCAAGAGCACCATGGGCAAGCCCCAGCGCCTGTACTAAGGCACAGCTTAATAAACCATACTGTTACCATTACCTGTCTGCCTGTGACCAAGGGGAGAGGGAGGTATTTTGACAGCTGTCATTGCATGCCACAGCACAGTGAAGGACAGTCATTTTACCCAAACTGCAAGGAAAGCCATTGTTATTGCCTTCAAAATTCTACAATCTTACTCCAATTTATTGGATATTTATGTTGTGATAGTCGGGCTGCTAACCTGGACTTGAAGCTTTTCTAATAACCTTGAGGGGGAGGGACAGATCAGGGCTAGGCTATGTGCTTCTGCTGCTTATGGAGTGGAAAGGATTAGGTGTTTCACCTTGAAGATATTGACTCAGCCTTTGGCAACATGCTTAATGTGTGACTTAACGTTAACCTCCTTGTATGTCAGAGATTGGTTCTTAATGTAGGCTTTTTGTGAGATTTTTGTGTTCTTTTTAATCCCTCTAAGCCATGCATTTGGGGTTGGTCTGTAGATCATAAAGTATTAAAAATGGAGTTTGGATACCTAGATGGTTATGATGGGAGTGGTCCACAAACTCTGAGAAATTGGTCTAGTATTTGCTTGCCTGACCCCAAGTTGAATACCATATATTAAGGGTAATTAGAAACTGCTTAAGATGTTTAGGAAAACATAAGACCTGTGCAATATTGTAATGGGCCCTGTTGATCTCTTCTAAGGAAGCAATGGGTGGCATTAGGCTGGAAACTCCCAGGCCCATTGTGCAATACCCCCAACTCCAGGCAGTCTCCCCTTCTCTGATCCTCAGAGAGAGTTCTTACCTCTGATGCTAGGCACTGGAAAAGTGGCTTTTGGTATAGTGGGAAATAATTAGCTCCATTTATCTTTGGTGAATAAAGGGATCAGTTCATCCCTCCAGTTTTGTTTAATATTGCTGCAAGGCTAATCCAAAGCATGGAAATGCTGTACGTTTTAAAAGAAGCATTACCTGTCCTTGAAGCATGAAAAGTACAAGGTTCTCACAAAAGACCTTAAGCCGTTTTTTTTTGGTGGTGGGGGGGTGTTGGCCTCTTTTACCTTTTTAACTGCAGGTAAAATAACTACAGTGTAATGTTGAGAGCACTGAATTTTGGTTTTTGAGGTAGGCCAGCTTGCTCCTTGAATTATTAGTGATAAGCTTGTTGAACAATGTTCCTTTAAGGAGGGACAAAAGCTGGCTATAAAATTAGGGCCTAATTTTATTGAAATGTTTATTCATAAAAACAATTGGAAGCTGACAAATTTGACCATGTTTAAGTGATTTTTAGGATTTTTTGAACTCCAATTTATGTAATCGGGAAAAAAGGCAATACTTGAGATACGGCAAGAAGATCTATGGCGATTTGATGAGGAATGTAGTACAAAAAGATTTATGAGTGTGAATATATTTTATGCCTTGACTCTGCAAAAAATCTGCTTACAAAGCACTGAGTACAGTTAAGAGAAAATATAAGATGTGAGAGCCATGAGGTAAAGACATAAAACAAGTCCCATGCGCTAAGATGGGCCCCGGCTGCTCCTGTGGCACCTACTCCCGAGGGTCTTGATGGGCTCGTGGGTGCAAACCATCTCTAGGAGCCTAAGACCAGAAAGATTTCTGTTTGCACCAGCAGTGGTGCTGTTGTGAGCATTGTCATAGTGGAGCCAAGGTTTTCAGAGATTCTCATGACCTCAGGTGCACACTCAGACTTTGTTGGGTACAAGATCAGCCATGTGATTGCCTGTGGACTGAGTGTCCCCCCCCACTGCCTAAGTTTGAATCCCAGCTCTGCCACTCAGGAGCCACATGAGCCTGTTGTGCTGATGATGGTACCTACCTAAAGTACCAACTTAGAAACATTTTGCACTATGCCAGGCACTTAGTACTCAAACAGCAGTAAGAAAATGGTAATTACATGTAACCACATACGTGTCCTATATGTACTGGGCCTGGTACACAAAAATCATTCGGGTTTAGGACAGTGAGTGGAGGCAATCCTGAGGAACACCTCAGTGGTGCTGATGAAGAGAACAGGGTGCCTTCAAAGTCACACCCTCCTGTCTGAAATGAGCCAAGGCTAAAAATCCTTAAAAAATTGTTTTGGAAACTCTAAAGCAAGGTAAATGGGTACATTTTAGAAATACTTGGGAACTTGGTGAATCTTCCTGCATTATCGATTTGAATCACCTGAATTTAAATCAAACCTACTTCAATTTATAAATCTATTGAGCCTTATGTATTAGGGTAGGAGCCCTTAAAAACCAACTCTTAAACAATGACTCAGCACTTTCTCCTGGTCTCTTGGGGAATCTGTTTCCAGCCATGGTGCCTGCCCTTAAAGGCCCACAACACCTCAACAAAAGGGATAGAGTAGGCAGCAGAACAGGAAAGCAAACAACACACTTGGGGATAGACTGATTCTGTTGAGCTATTTTAATCAATTCCCAGCCTCTAGGATGACTAGTCCAAAGCTTAGTGTGCACCTGAGTTAGAATTCAGGTTTCACATACCTGGGGAGCCCAAGTTCTCTAGCAGTTGTGCTGCAAGGAAATAAAGAGCCCTCATGAACCCTCAGGACAATACTCTGGCCTTGACTGTGGAATTGACAAAAATATGGCACTCTTCCCTCTCCCCCAGGGAACATCAGAACAGGAAAACGGGCAGGAAGGATAGAACTACGGGCCCCTTCTTTGAGCTCCAGCTTTCTTGGTGCTTCTGTACAGCTTCCCATTGAACCCTGAGCAGAGGAGAGCAACTTCCAGGAGAGCCCTGGGCTTTGGGCTCACAAGACCCACTTTCTCATCCTGGTTCCTTCCCTACATTGGAACCTCGAAACTAGTAATTACCCATTTCTGGATCTGTTACATTTGTGGTTGGGGGTAAGGGGAGAGAGAAAAGAGAAAAGCTGGCCATATTTCACTCCTTGAGTTTTCTGCATGAGACCTACATTATTTTTAAAAAAGGCAACAATCCACGTGATAATGCTTCAAGCACCCAATTGATGTATTCATCTATTAGTGCAGAGATTGAATTTTGCATCCAGTCCTAGGCCTGGCACATGGGTCTTTCATAAATCAATTCTGCTTCTAGGACCCCCTCCCAACTTACTGGAGCTCAAGGTACCTCCCCATCCTACAAGTGATAATCTGGAGTCCCTCCAATGCAATGGACCAAGACAGGCCACCTGAGTATTTAAGTAGTATACTAGGTGTATGGACTTGGAGTCAGGCAGATCAGGTTCTAATCTTGGTGTTGCCATTGACTGACTCAGTCCGTTTCCACATCTACAAAATTGGAGGTTGGACCAGGATGACCTACGGCCATGGACCAATATATATGTCAGTGGCCTGTTAGGAACTGGGCTGCACAGCAGGAGGTGAGTGGCAGGCTAGCGGGTAAAGTTTTATCTGTTATTTGCAGCCACTCTTCAGCGCTAGCATCACCACCTCAACTCCACTTCAGGTCATCAGGCATTAAATTTTCACAGGAGCACCGGTCTCTGGTGCTGAAAATGTTGGGGACCGCTGATCTAGAAGACTAGATTATCAAGTAGAAAATTTCAGATAATTAAAGATACTGCCTTCTCCCCTTCCCCCATGGTCCCTGCTGTGTGAGCACAAAAGTCTTTCCCAAGTGGACAGGAGCAGGATAAAATCTGGCTTCCCCTGATAGCAGCTATCCACTTGGGAGAGCACTCACCCTCCCTGAGGCTCTTTCCTCATGAGTAAAGTGAGGACAGGACAGTGAGAACAGAAGTCACTGTGAAGACGTGGGGATTCAGCAGGGAGCCCATCTCAGTAGTTGTGTAACCTTGAGTAAGTCGCTTCACTTAGAGACAAAGTGGCAGAAAGAGCTCAGGGCCATGCAGGGCACAATTCAGTGCTTAACTCCTGGAAGGAAAGGCTTGGAGAAAGGTGGGAATTGACAAGCTTTCACAGGACCCTTGAATCATAACTATTTTGAGTGGGGTAGGGCTTGGGTACCCCCAGCAGACAGGGTGGGGTGGGGTGACACACCAGGACCTAACCTAGGAGGAGCGGCCACCTGAAGCTATTCCAACCCAGAGGTCTGGCACACGACTGGTCACACAATTAACCCACAAACAAATAACTTTAATTTTTTTTTGTTTGAGCAGGAGCTGGGCTTTGATGGCACCTGCCCCAGCCCCGTGCCACATTTATGATATAACCCATCACAGCTGGATTTAAAAAATACACAAAAAATATATAATATACATTATAAAACCTAGGTTGGGTTTGGAGGTGGCCTGAGCGATATGCAAACTGTGAGGACCTTCAGGAAGCTCAGGGGTGGGGCAGGGTAAAGAAGGGAAGGGGCACAGTACTTCATATGAAACTCATAAATACCAAGAGGTTGCTGGTGGATAGGCCGAGGCAGCTGAAGGGCCTGGGTGTTGGGAAGGGACGGCAGGGAAAGGGTTAATCTTCAGTCCCAGAACTGGATCTTAGGAGCTGCTCCAGGCAGGGAGACTGAGGTGAGGAAGAACATAAGGGAGTGGTGCCCCGCAAGGGGTCACTAAACCCAAGTCTTGGGCAAGAGAAACTCTCAAAGCCTTTTGCTGCCCCTTGTCCCAGGGCCACGAGTCTGTCCAGAAGCTGGGACTCCATCTTCCTACTTGACCCTCCAGCCTAGTTTTGAGCCTGCACCTGCCTCCAGGGGCCTTCCCCTATCAGGAGGCTGCTGCGGGGTCTTGACAAAAGATCTGGGCCAGGGCAGCTTGCGGGAGGTGGGCGCAAGAGGCTCCTGAAGCCTCTGGCTGGATTGCGGGCTAACAGAGGGCACCCAACAAGTGCTGAATATCTGCGGCTCTCCTTTCTTGCCTGATCAAAAGCAGTTGCTCCCCTGTGTCAGGGGGCCCCCAACCCAGCTGGCCCTAGTCCCTCCCGTATGCCCTGGGGCTGGTCCCACTCAAGGGAGGTAGTGTAAACCTGGGCTCTGGGGACAGGCAACCCTGGGTGAGCACTCCAATTCTGCCCACCACCCCTACAGGTTCCTTAACTACTCAGAGTCTCAGAACCTCATCTGAGACACCAAGACCCGTGCTTGCCTGAGGATGGCACGAGGCACAGAGGGGGCCTGGCACATAGCAGGTACAAAGAAAGTATGGGCCCTCTCTCTTCTTCTTAACCCAACCCCAACTCGACACTCCCCCTTGTGGCCTCTGCATTCCGCCTCCCCTCCATTCTACTTTCACCAGCTGGCACACTCCCCTGAGGGGCCAGTGGCCGCGCACACCTGACTGAACCCAAAGGTGTCCTCCCATTCACTCGAGGCTGGGCAGAACTGGGTGATGGTGGCTCAGCATCCCAGCCAGGCTGCCCCACCGCTGAGCCCCACTCTCTTCTCCCACAATTAAAGCGCAGAACAGTGGCAGGGAGTGTGTGTGCTGGGGGTAGGTAGGGAGGCCTGCTGGGTCCTGGGTCTGAGGCCTGGCAGGCAGATGAATCCTCAATCCTGGACCCCTGGGGGTGCCAGGCAGATGTGTGGAAAAGATGCTCGTCCTGGATCCTGGTGGTAGGGGCAGAGAGCACTCTAGTCTTTGACAAGCTTGTAGACATGGTGCTGGGCCCCGTGCTCACTGGTGGAGACTTCGAAGACAAAAGCAATGACGAGGAGGGTCTCCTGGGAGTCACGGCTTGTGACCACCTGGGGGCAGGACAGGAAGATTCAGGAGGTCAGGTGGAACAGGGCCAAGGAGTGTGGAGGCTGAGCAGACTCTGCTCTTTTCTGGGGCTCAGTCTCTGTCTCTGAACGATGGGTCTGGCCACCCCCGCTTTGAGACCCCTGTGCCTGGCACCCTCCCAGGACCCCCCAAAACTCCTGTGCCTCCCACACCTGCAGGATGGTGAAGTTCTCCAGGACACTATTCATCATGTACTTCTCGGGCAGGTGCTTCAGCTTGTGGATGAAGTTGATCATGTACTCGCACATGGGCGAGCGGTGGATGCGGTACACGAAGCGCCCGTTCTCCAGCCTGGCGTACTCTGTCTGTGGAGAGCCGTGGGGAAGGCATCGCTCAGCCCACCTACTCCTGGCCCCACCACTCCTCTCATCCCCACCTCTGCCCCGAGAGCCCCCACTCACCTCCACCTTCTCTACCACCTGCTTGCCAAAAGAGCACACCTTGGTGGAGACACTGATGGTCATGCTATCGGCTGAGCTGTACTGGGAGCTGACCCCATAGAAGGCTCCCGGGCCCTCCTGGATGGTGCTGTTGAGGTCGGCCTGGAAGAAGAGGCGGGGGTGCCATTAGGTGCTAGAGAGGCCTGAGGGAGGCTCCCTGCCATGCCACATCAGGATCCTGCCCAAGGACCCATCTCCGGCACTCTGCCCACAGACCACAGGGAGAGAGGTGGTCAACAGGGTGGGTCCAGGTGTACTGCACATCTGGGTTGGTTGGGAGCAGAGAGGGATGAGGGCAGCTCACCCAGAACTTGACGAGGAAGAAGGCATTAGGCGGCCCCTTCTCATAGAGCTCCTTCAGTCCACCTTTTTTCTCCGGGAACTTGTCATAGATTTGACGCACATCGACCGCCTCCAGGGGTGGATCCGAGAAGGCGGGGTTCGTCTGGCCGATGTGCACAAACAGGTGTTTGCTGTACTGTGGGGAGGGCCCAGTACCGGGTCAGGGGAGCACTCAAGTGTGCAGGCCCAGGGGGGCTGCACGAGGATAGAACTGCCCTATGGCTTCCAAACCCCATGACCCTGAGCTGTGGCCCTGGACCACCATGCCAGAGTCTCCCCACGATTGCACCCAAACACATTACCGTGTCAGGGTCTCGCTGCACCTCCATGAAGGCGGAATACTCAAGGAGCCGCAGCCGGGAGGAGGCGATGGTGCGGTCCTGCCACACAGGCACAGAGGCAGCAGCTGGGGGGAGCGGGGCCAAGGGCTCGTAACCTGGAGGACAAGGTGGACTCTCATCTGCATGTGGCCCCAAGCCTGCACAAAGCCTTTGTGCAAACTAGAAAATGACATGCCTTTTGAGTGGGAACACAGGCTGGATTTTGACTCCCCTGCCAGGTGTCCTTGTACAGTGCACAAGCTACATGACCCATGTGTGGTGGCCCTAGTAGTATACATCGGTGAATTTTTCCTTTGTCACTATTAATGTGTGTTCGAACTAAAAATGTAGTCAAGTCAAAAGGGAAAAATAAAAATTACCCAGAATCCCAAAACCTTCGTTACAAGGAAGTTTATATACATACAGTATATAAGTGTAATACTCTCAGTGTTACTTGTAGCAGAGTTCAGGAAGCAACATTGTAAAAGGTAAGGGGGCTATTTCTGGATGTCCCAATCCCCCATAGATGCCACTCACTCCTTCCTCCCAGTGCAAACACACACACACACACACACACACACAAGTTGAGTCCCAGCTCTTCCAAGCAGAGGTGCAGGTGCCAAGGGTGGGACTGGTGGTGGTGGCAGCCTCATGGGAAACTTACTGCTGAGCGTCGGCGGCAGGGGAGGCTGGATAGGGTATGCTGGCTGTGCAAAGGGCTTGATGCTGCAGACAGGAGCACAGCCTGGTTAGAGGGTCACCCACTTCCCCATGTTCCACCTGGCCCAATCACTTGGTGTCTTATCTGGGATCCCAAAAGGGAGCCACCCAGCCTTGCTGCAGAGGCCCGAAAATGCATGCTGACTAACTCACAAGCTTTTTGTTTTCTTCACATTTTAACTTTTGTGAAATCCTGCTGCATCTCACAATTGATGTGCGCGTTTAATGTAGCATTTCAACCTCACCCTGAAGAGCTGAGGGTGTATCTCAGGATGAAAGTCATCTTAGAATTAAAAGAACCAAGTATACTCAACAACCTGACTCATTGACTGAGAGGTGGATTTGGAGATTAACTGAGTGAAAAATAATTGAAAGATGGATGACAAGTGGATGAGTGGGTTGATGAATGAACAAACACATGAATGAGCAGACAGATGCATTAGCTTTCTTACTGGAGCTCTCCATCCTTCCGGTTTTTTAATTAAAACTTTGCTCAGCTGTTGCTGGAGCTCAGATGGGAGGGGAAGTCTAGTGTGGCTGCCAAGGGAAAGAAGAGGGTGTGGGAAGGATGTACCACAATACTCACTCCTGAGAGGGTCCAGGCTGCTGTCCCAGGAGAGGGGGGCTGCTCCAGAACTGCAGAGATGGGACAAAGCACAGGGCTCTCTCAGTATCCTTGCCCCTCACTATAGCCCAGCCCTGAAGACACTCCCTCACCTCCCAGGACCACCTCCCAGGACCCCTGTACCCGTGAGGAAGTGGAGAAGACGGCCTGGGGCAGAGGGGAGGGCGGGCTGAATTTGTTCTGTAGGACGCTGGCGGAGACAATCTGGGCAGAGGACATGGATGCCATGCTCTGGAGGGCTTTGTCCTTGGAGACCTGGTCCTGGGGAGGGGAGGGATCATGTGAGGCCAGAGACAGGACAAGGCCTTGCCTCAGGACCCCCCTCCAAAACTCTCAGGGCTCTGAGGAGTCCAGGTCTGGATTACAGCCCCAGCTGTGCTCTGTGGGCTAAGGAGGGTCTCAGCCCTGATCTGGGCCTGTTTCTTAAGTGTACATCACCCCTGTGACCACAATCCACAGTAAGAAATAATTTTTATTCCATAACTCTGTATGTACCAAAATATTTCGCCTTACATATCATGTACTGTCAGATTTTCTATTATATTCCATTAGTGGTTCTCAAAGTATGGTGCATGGACCAATAACACCAGCATCACCTGGAAGCCTGTTAGAAATGCAAATTCTCAGGCCCCAGCTCAGACCTACTGAATCAGAAACTCTGAGGATGAGGTCCAAAAATCTGTCTTCACAACCCCTCCAGGTGATTCTGATACATGCCAAAATTTAAGAACCATTATATTTCATTATACTTCATTAAAAAAAGTTTAAGAACCATTATACTTCATTATATTTCATTAAAAAAAAAAATTCTGTTTGCAAATCTATTAAATTGATTTACAATCCATAATTTGAAAATCCTATATCAGGTGTTCTTCCCACAACTTCCACCAGGAGAGAGTCAGTGCTACTTACCAGGTTCATGGCCTGTGAAGGAGAGGGAGAATGGATTAGATGAGGCACAAATGAAGGATATATGGGTTGGGGGGACATGTCTTTTCACCTCCCTCCACTCAAAGCCCACCTGGCTCTCAGCTTCCAAGGAGCCAGGGAAGATCAGCAGTAGCTGTGGACCTTCCCCCTGCCCCACTACCACCCAAAGGGAGTGCTTTCCAACTGGGGGGTGCCCTGGATAGGGTAGGATGACAGACAACAGGCTGGAGACCTCGATGGTGAAGCAAGCTGGTACCCCTTGGGTCTGTCCATGTCCTCCGGAGCTGTGCTATAGACATGGAAGGCTGGGGTGGGACACCCAGTTTGCTGGGCAACTATGGGCAGGGAGAAGAAAATGTAGCCTACGGGGCCCCTGACAAAGGCCTGAGCCATGAACCCCAGGCTCTGAGATCCTCAGCCACAGAACATCCAGGATTGAGTGTCCAATGCAAGGAACAGCCACATCCACCACAATAGCTCTGCCAGCAAATACCCTCCAGTGTTTCCTCCCTGCCCACCTGAAGTCCCCATGCAATTAGCAAGGCGCAATTAGGAGGAAGGAGAAAAAGGAAAATGGAGAAGAGAACTGGGCCTCAGTGGTCCCTAAATAATCTTCCTCTCCCTCACTGTAGGGCTGGCTGTCCCCTTGCGCTCAGTCTCCAAGGGCTGTAGCCCTGTGTTGCCTGAAGCAGCCTTTGGTCTTCTTGCTGCTGCTTGTGTTTCTGAGACCCCTGTACCCCCGATAGCTCCTCAGCCCCCTCCCTAACCCAGGCTGGGGTCAGAGAACAGCAACAAGCCTGGGTAGGGCCAGGCCAAGTGGCAAGGGACCCCATACCTTCAGCTTGGACTGAATCTCCCGAGATTTCCGCCTGGCTAGAACCTGCAAGTGGCTAGAGACCTGTAGAGAGAGAGAGAGAGAGAGAAAGAAAAAGAGCAGAAAGAGTGGAAGAAGAGGCAGGAATAGAGCTTCAGCCAGAAAAGAGGCACAGTGGGGCCAGAGAGCTGGCCAAGGCAGAGGCCTGAGCCGTGCAGAGATAGCAGTGGAGGCGCCATGGGTAAGGGGCCGAGGAGGGGCTGGAGGCCCCAGTCAGCACCCAACGTACCTTGATGCCAACCTGGTACTCCCGCACCTTCTTCCGAGCTAGAACCTGTATGTGGCTGGACACCTAGGGGCCGCCCCGCGCCCAGCCAGAGAGGAAAACACAGACAGTGAGGAGGCACAGCATGGGGTGGCCATAGGCATAGCCTTCATCTCTGGGAACAAATGTAAGTAAGGGAATCTGTGGGGATCCTGTGGGCAGACACCCCTCAGCCCTACCAGTCTGCTCTCCTCTTGGCCCTGTCTTGATCAAGGCCTATAGTGGCTTCTAGAATCGCCATGTACAGTTACTGAACAAAAGCACCTAGCCCAGTGAGGGCGAAAATCCAGTCCGAGCTCTGCTGGCCAAGCTGTGTGCCCTGATGTAGGGCTGTATCTAACCGAGAGAAAGGATATCTTCTTATTTTCCCCAAAAGGGGTGACCTTTTTCTCCCTGGTATCCTTAAAGGAGATACATTCTTCTAATTGGCACCACAGAGGCTAACGATGGCCATCATCGGATTATACATTAGGCCATATCTTCTATGAAAGATCTCTCCTGTACAATCGTCTAAGTCCTCCTGTGAACCCCAACAGCTTGCCAGCCTATAAAACTAGGCCTGGTCCTACTCCTGCTTCGTTCATGCAGCTTTTTTCCCCAACACACCTTCCTTTTCCTTGGACTGATAAATGGCAGTATACACACACAGCAGATGCTCTTAATTGCATTTCTTCTCTAGCACCTCCTCCCTGAAGCATCCCTCTCCTGGCAAACACAAGCTAATCACGGCCTGGATGTCTGTACTACGGGGCTTACCAAACAGACCCTTGAGCCCCAGAGAACATAAAGGTCACTGTTTTCCCCATGCAACACAAGGGAACCCATGGCTCCTCTGGGCTGCTTCACACTTTCCTTATCAGTAACTGCTATTGGCTTTCTTTGCAAGTTGTTTTTATCCCCAAAAAGAAACAGTTTTCTTTTCTTTTTAATCAGAGACTGAAAGTTACTATGTATGTGATGCTGGGGGGTGGGGGGGATACTACTTGGTTAGGACCCAGGGGAGTGCTCCTCATGCTGCTTCATATTGCACAGGAATCATACATACATCCAGCAAGATTACTGATCATTTCATGTCATGACAGTAACTGACATTTACCGAGCGCATCTATTGTTCTCAGCGCTTTACTCATACCAACTCATCTGACCTTTATAGCAACACTAAGAAGTTGATACTAATATTTCAGATTTACAGATGATGAAACCAAAGCACAGAGAGGTTAAGCAGCTTATCTAAGGTCACACAGCTGGAGGCTAGAGCTGGGATTTGAACCAAGGTGGCATGACTCAAGAGTCCACTTGCTCTACCACTGAGCTATGCTACCAGGACTCTCGTAGACCCTTAGCACAGAGGGCCACCTTCAAGTAGTCAACTCTGTGACAGTTGAAAGTCACATAGGATTTAATCTTAATGTCATATTTAGCTGGTTTTTTTTTCAATATGGAGGCATTGTACGTGCTACTAATTGCTGTACCTATCTGTAAAAAAACAAAACAAAAAACAAAAAGAACCTAAAACAGCATTTCTAAAACCAAGAGTAAAATAAAAACAACCAAAACAACCTTGCCTGTTGGCTGGTTGTTCTTTGTGACCCATAAAGTCATGGCTTGTCCTCATAACCATAGGATGGGTCCTCTTTAAAGGAGATATTAGATATCAGAATTCTAAGAAAAAACAGAGGAGTACCTCCCACACAAAATGACAAGGGCCAATGGTTTTTTAAATTCTGAGCTCACTGACAGCTGGTTTCATTTATTTTATAATTTTATAATTAAAATAAAATCTCATTGACCAGCCAGGCTGCATGGGAAACCTGGCCAAGAGCAGGTATAACGCTGGGCCCAGAATGAAGAGGTTCTGCTACCCTCCCTGGTCAAAGCGTTGGAGTGTAAAGATCCCTCAGCCCCTTCTCACTCTGAAAAAGGTTCCTATAAACATATCTTTTGGGTGAAGCAAGACACACTGAGACAGTGCCTTCTCTTGCACCTGGAATGGCTTTCTGTTTATAATGACAGTAATAATAAGAGTGATGGCAGTGACAAGTGCTTGTACGGTGCTTATTCTGGTCTAAGTGTCTTCACATATTAGCTAATTTAATGGATGAGGAACAGAGGCTGGGAGGCGAAGCACCCCCTTCCCGCAGGTAGTAGAGCACGTATTTGAACCCAGAGGTCTGATCAGTAAGTGTTCCTCCTGCAGTCCCAGGCCAGGGAACAGGGCCCTTGACCATCTGGTTCCCTGCTAGAACATAGTAGTAGCTCAATAATTTACTAAATGAATAAATACTGTGTAACATGAGCTGGCTACGGAGAGTGGTTAATAAAAGCCTGAACAAATGAGGGAGTGTTTCTGCTCCCACAGTTGGTGGGTGGACTCAGAATCTTCCTTTGAGACAGTGGTGTGGGACAGGTCAGGCTTGTCATATGCTTGCATGGGGATCTGGGGAGGTGGATGCAAGGCACAAAGGCTGAGGGTCAGAGGCGCCCTCCATTCCTCCAGGTACCTGCCTCCAGCCTACCTCTCTCCTAGACACCCCACGTGCAACCCACCCCAACTGACTGCCTGTCACCACACTGCTACCCTCCCTGGACTGTAAGCCACCCAATCATCTCTCAAGTCAACAAGTGTTCCCCATCCCCACCACTACTACCCTCACCACTGCCACTACCCAGGCCACCACTGCTGTGGATCTAGGTCCCTAATCCATTGCCTTACTGCCCCAGGCCTGGGCCAACATTCCTCGAGAGCTGCTACCAGCCACTCCCTGCTCTATTATCCTTTCATGGCCCCCAGCTGCCCCTGGAGAAAACTTGTCCCTCAGGCCTCCAGCCAAATCTCTCACCCTTGGCCCTCAGCTCTTCATTCTCCACCACCACACCCCACCCCAGCCCACGTGGCTGACTGAAGGTTCTTTCTTGCCTATTGGATTGAATCTTGGATCCACTACCTACCAGCCAAGGGACCTTGAGGAAGTTACTTAAATTCCCTGTGCCTCAGTTTCCTCATCTGTAAAATGGACATAATTACTGTATCTATCTTGTAAGGTTGCTGTGAGGATCAAATAAATTAATATCAAGTTAGCTCCGAATTCGCAATTATTATTTACATATCCAACTTCCTCAGCCTGGAAGAATCCCCTCCCTTTTTTTCTGCTTGGCTAAATCTTATTCCTTCTTAAAAATGCATCCTGAGTGTTACCTTCGCTAGGAAGCCTTCCTAGCTCTCCCTCTTCCCTTCCCCTGCCTGGTCAGGGTTAGATGCTTGTTCGACGGCACCCCCCACCCATCTCAGCCATGCCACCCTGCTCTGCACTCAACCATCCAACCATCTGTCTCCCTGACTGGTCAGTGCGCCTCTCAGGGCAGTGTGCATGCAGCTGCCACAGCTGCCCCGTGGGGCTTTCCTGTGGTCACTGAAGCAAAGGCCTTGGGTGGAGTGGTGGGCGGTCAGAGAGGACAGTGGGAAGAGTGATGGAGCAGCTTGAGGGGGTGTGAAGTCACTAGGCGAGGGCAGGGGAGCAGGCTGGGTGAAGGGGCAGCTATGAGGAGGTGGGCAGGGCAGTGGGATAGCTCTGGACAGAAAGGGGTTGAAGGAGGCAGCTGAGAGAATGTGTGTGTGCAGAGGGGCCACTACATAAACAGTCTCTTTACCTGTTTTCTTGTCCGAGTCTTCCCTGTTCTCAATTTAATATAGCGTGCGATCAACTCATTCCGACCTAGATTGGGTGAGAGAAAAAATGAGTGGGCGAAGTGGGGAGCTGGTGGATGGAGACCACCCCACCAGCTGAGAACCACACAAGGCACCTCCCTCAAACACTGCTCCTCTGTTCCCTCCCCCACTCTTTACTCTGACCCCACCCTCAGGGGCACAAGCAGGTGGACAAGGAAAGTGGGGAAGTCCCAGGTGCTCCCCCTACTGCCTCCAGGGGGCGGGGGGGTCTGCTCATTGGGAGAGGGGTGAATAGGGGCAGCAGAGTAGGAGGAGGAAGGTGGAACAATGTCAGGTTTCCTTGCAGACAGGGGCAGGTGTGGCCCAGGGGCAGCAGGGCAGCTGAGTCCCTCACTCCCAGCCCCTAGCAGTGCTTCCTTCCTTCAGGGCTTGCCACCAGCTCCAAAGCTCTGAGTGTGTATTCGTGTGTGAGACCTGACCCAGGCAGTAGACGTTTCTGTTAATATTGCCATGTGTGTCTGAGAGTTCTAGACTGGGTTCCTGTCCTAGCTGTCCTTGACATGAGGGGGGACCCTGGACAAGTCCCTTCCCTTCTCTGGTGAAATAGGCAGGAAGGACCGGGTGGTCTCCAACACACCTCCTACACTGATAGCTTGTGTTAAGATGTGTCACTGAGCATGTCACTGTGCCCTTGAGCCTGTCACCCCCATGTCACCAGTTACCAGTATCTCTCCCGCCCTATGGGAACCCAACTGCTTGTCAGCCTTGGGGTGGGGGGCTCTGCTCAGCACCATGGACCCTCTGAGGGGGCTTGTCCCTGGGAGAGGGGTGCTTGGGACCCGTAGCTAAGCATATCTCAGCATCCCCTGGGTGTATACCTCTTACCCCCAAATCCAGGCCCCTTGCCCCCTAACCTCACAGCCTCCCCACATTCTCCAAATTCCTCTTCAATGACAGAACCAGCCCCACTGCTCCTCCCTTCCTGCCTTCCCCTCTCCACCCCACTCCCTCCGCCCTATCTAAAAATACCCTGTGGGGCTGCCCCAGCCATCTGGGAGGTGGCAGTTGGGGCAGGCAGCCCCCACCCTCAGGAAGGCATCCTGGAACATCTGCCTGCCCCATGAGTGGTGCTCTGGTGCTAGGGGTAGGTGTGAAAAGAGGGTGGGGGCAGAGGACATGGGGCAGCCCTTACCACTCGGCCCAGCTGTCTCCTTCCTGTACCCGCCATGGTACTGGATGCTGGGAGAGGACAAGCTGAGGGCCTGCCTCAGTCAACCATAGGCTGTCAGGGAGGGTTGGAAGGAGTTGGCAAAGAGCCAGGCCCAGAAGGGCTGAGTTATCCCAAAAATGCAGCTCTGGGAGAGCCCTCTCAGGGCTGGACAAGGGGCGACACTCCCTTCTGGAGGCAGGAGGTGGGCAAGGCAGCAAGGAGAGGGGCCAGAGGAACAAGAGAGACTTGGGAGGGGGTCTGAAGAATGAATGAGTCTCTCTAGCCTTCTTCCCAATACAGGCCCTTGTCACACTGTGGCTTACCTTGCAGCCCTCCCCTCCCCAAAGCAATGGAAGGAACTCACCAATGGGAAACCCTGCTCTGTGCTGGGACTTCCGCCCCAGGCCTCACCCCTCGGGCTCCCTGACATCCTCCCAGGGGAAGGACCCTCTCCCAAGCCTAGCCTGGAGCACAGTGGACTGACCCAGTTTCCCAAGCCCACTGAGTCGCTGTGAAACCTCCAGGCCAGCAGGGGGGAGGAGAGGAGAAGCAGATGGGGGTGTCAAGGGCCAAGCTCTTGAGAGCTCTCGCTGGTGGAGGGGGCAAGCCTGGCTTGTTTATGAGGAGGATCCAGACACACAGGCTTGCACGCCCAGACTCGCCCATGGCGGGCTGGCGGCCTCAAGACTTGGCCAAACCGGTTGGGTGAGGGGGCAGAGAGCAGGGGGAGGGGCCTGGGAAGGCCAGGCTGCCTCCCCCAGTCCTGTCCAGTGTCCCTGTGCCTCCCGACACGCACCATACATCTTGCCCTCGTCTGACAGGATGATCTTGCGGCGGCCGCAGGGTGGGTAGATGGCCAGGGCCTCCTGGAAGCTCTGCTCGATGTCCGGGCTCCACACTCCCTCCGCATCGTTGTCCAGCCCCTTGTCCAGGCCCTCGGGCCCATCCTCCCGGGCCTCCCCGGGGCTGCTGCTGGCGTTCCAGCTGTTGGACGCTATTGTGCTGGTTACTCTGGGCTCTGGGCCTGAGCCCACTGGGCAGCCTGAGCCTGGGGGACAGACACAGAGGAGTAAAGGCAGGTGCTCTGGGAGGTAACCAGAAATTAAGCTTATTCAGTGCTGTGTGACCTTGGATGAATTACTTCACCTTTTCAACCCCCAGTCCCATAAAAAGAGGAAAGGATCTCCTTGAGGTTGTGAGGATTAAAATTAAATGAGATCATGACAAAGTGCCAACCACAATGCCTAGCTCATAGCACTCACTACAGCACTGGTTGCGATCAATAACAACAAAAATGCCTTATATCCACATAGCACTTCTTTGGGAAAAAAGGACTTTCATAGTCATTCAATCTCCAAATCTAAGGCAGCGAGGGTAAAGAGTGATGCCCATTATTCAGACAAGGCAAAACCGAGGCACACTAGGTCAGTCAGCTGTCAAAGGCATATGATGAGCAAAGAGAAGAGGAACACAAGGGGCAGGGCCTGGCATTTCTGTAGCTCTCAGAGGGGCTCCTTGGCTCCTATTCTGCTAGCTCCTCCTCCCTGTCATCTGGATCCCCAACTAGGGACACTCAGCCCCTCATTTTCCCCGCAGCACAAATGCAACCCTGCTGAGGACCTGCTGTGGGACCCAAAAGATAACTCTAAAGAACCCTGCCAAGGAATCTAAACGTAAGGCAGGAAGTGCCCCAGGAATTGCAAGAGACACTGGCTGGCAAGGGAGCAGCTGAGAAGGTGCCCAGCCAACAGCCTTGCTCAACCCCACCCGCTCCTCCATCCCACTTCCTGTTCCCGTACCTCTTGGCCCTACAGCAGCCCATAAACCACCCACATGCCGGCCCCTGCCCTGGCCCACATCGCAGATGGGCCAGGGCTCTGTAAACTTTGAGTTCCCTGCACACGCAAGGCTAGTTTATTTAGACCACACCCAGCCAGTCCCCCCAACACACTCAGCTCCGAGTCCCTCACTTTAGCCTAAGAATCTGCATGCCCAATGTATACCAGGGTCCTGGAAGACTCAGAGGCCAAGAGGGCTAGATCTTGGGACTTTGCTCTGGGCTTCAGGGAAAGTTGGGGCAGGTCTTTCCCCTCAAACATGAATCCCATCTCCTGTAGAATGGGTGGGGGTTCTCCCTGTGGGGCCACCTGTTTGCTTAGGGAGGCTTGAAGGGGATGGGGAGTGACATGGGATGGGGAGGGCCTGAAGGGCCTCAATATCAGCTGGATATATTGTTTTAGACTTAACATTACCACTATTGACAGCACCCGCCATACGACAGGTACTGTGCTGGGATTTTACACACGCTGACTCATTTAATTCTCAGAGTAACCTATGGGGTATATACTATTATTATTCCCACTTTACAGATGAGGAAACCAAGGAACAGAGAGGTTAAGCAACTTGCTCAAGGACACACAGCTAGTTAAGTGCTAGAGCCAGGTTCCGAACCCAGGCGATCTGGCTTCAGTCTCTTAACCAAGCGGATGGGGCTGAGAAGCTCCATCACCTATAGTGAGAAAGGTGAGAAAGGCGGTCCAGCTGTCACAGCAACCACCCTGATCTGCCTAGTGGGGTCCAGACAAAGGGGCCCTCCTTAGCCCAAGTGGCTGGAGCAACTTAAAGGACCCCAGCACTGTGGTAGACCTTTTAGTGAGCCCTCTGAGACCACCAGGAATAGCTCCCATGCCAAAGGGCCTCCAGGGAGAGAGGAAGCCACGCTCCTGACAGGTCAGGAAGACAGACTCATCTACTCCTGCCTGTCTTTACCCCAGGGAGCTGTATCCCTATCTCTATCCTCTTTTCAATCCCGAGGCCAAGCTTTTGGAATAAAAATGTGAGAGCAGGGACTCTAGGGGACCCAGTGACTCTTACATTGAGGAAGTTGGGATACAGGGCCTGCCCCCAGGCCTGACATTGCCACAAGCTGTCAGAGGGGAGGCAGAAGAGGGAGGACAGTGAGCTAAGACCCCTCCCAACAGAGTCCTCAACTCATTTTCCCCCAAATCCTTTCCTGCGGCCTCCCTCAGAGCAATGGAAGCCCAGAGCATGGGGGGATCCTGGCAGCCTGACTTTTGAAAGCAACTTTGCTGCCTCCCCCAAGTCTCTGCTTGCCTCCCCTCATCTAGGCAGTGGCCCCCCTTCTTGGGGTGATGTCAGTCCCGCCCCGCCCCCCGCAGGAGCACTGTGGCCAAATATGGCGAACACAGCAGTGCTTGGGAGCTGGGACAGACTGGGGGGGCGGGGCAGCCCCTGGCTTGGACTGCTGGCAGCTGGTGAGGGGGAGGGGAGCCAGGGGGCAGCTACAAGGACAGTCAGAGAGAAAAGTGGGACCCCCATCCCTTCCGCTGGCTCAGGGGCTCATGCAAGACTTACTTTCTAGGAACTCTAGTGTAGGCAGAGCCACCAACACAGGGGCGCACAGGTGACCCCCGCCCCACACAGCCATGCACAGGAGCACATGTGTGCAAGTATGCTGTGTGGGTGACCAGGTGACACCCACACGGGCGATGGTGGGCAGACAGCTGCACCAGGCTAGGGACTGAACTGGGATCTCTGTCCTATACACTCTAGAGGAAGTCAGTGAGAGGAGTGTGGACTGGCAGCTCCCGTCTTCCCAGAGTTACTGCTGTGGGATCAGGGCAGAAACTAGTGTGTGCCCACCTGCTTCTCCTTAGACCCCCAAACACTGGGACCCAGCCTGGGGTGAAGGAGGAAGCCAAGGGCTCCTCAGACAGCTGCAGGGCTGAAATGAGGCAAACGTGAGACTCAGCCTTGGTGGAAGAGGAGGACTCCAGGGAGCTGCCTGGGGTGAGAGGGCACGCCCCCCTGGGGGGGGGCAGCCTCAGCCTGGGATAGGGTCTCATCTCCCCTGTACAGAGAGGGATTGGGAGAGGTGGTGAGTTCCCCGCAACCCCACCCCCAGCTCTCTGTTGACTTGCTTGCCCAGGTGTGTAGAACCTCTGCCTTGCTGAGAGGTGGGAGAGAGGAAGAAAGACCCAAGTGAGAGGCAAGCGGGGTAGAGCTTCGGACAGACAGGAGGGCAAGAGGGAGATGGTGTGCGGGAGAGTTGGGGGTAGGCTAAAGAGAGGAGGGGTTAAAAGGAGCAGTAAGGGGAAAGATCAGTAAATTCAGATACAGTCAGGCAGGGAGGGAGGGGGTAAGCCAGGAGGGAGAGAAGGGTGAGGGGGAAGGGAGGAAGAGAGAGAGAACGCATGCAAGAAAGAGCCAGAGAGAGAGCATGTGCAAATGACAGAAAGACCCACAGACCAGGGCAGACCCAGAAAGAAGGAAAGCCACTGTAGGGATCTAGGGTCAGCTACAACAGGGGCATGCTCATTCCTGTCCCATCTGCTCTCCCACCTCCTCACAGATGACCTCTCATCTCCCTCTGCAGAAGCCCCATTATTACGACAGGCGACAGGCGGTGGACCTCCTATGGTCTCATCTGCCTTTACACTCAGTCTGATCAGCCACACACACCTGCTTCCCCTCTCCCAGGGCCTTTAGTGGTGAGTAGGCTGGGTGAGCAGGCTTTGGGGCCCTCAGGGAGGAAAGCGACACCTTGCTGCCCACTCCTCACCCTGGGGCCAGGCCTGCTGAAATAACTGGTTGGACAGCTCCAAGGATAGAGGTTAGATTTGGGCAGGTTCAGAAGCCCTAGACCCCCACCCCTATAAGCCCCCCATCAGCCTCCAGACCACTCTCCCTTTTAAAGTTGGAGGACAGGCCTGAAACTTGGGCTCCCCCAAAGTCTCTGCCCTGGTGGGGAATGTAGACAAGGCAAGTCCAGGCAGGTGCCCCCCCAAACACACGCTTATCCCTACCACTGTACCAGCCCCACTGGGAGGACAAACTGAGCCTGGTGACTCTACTGGGTCTAGCGGCCAGCAGCTGTCCACTCTTGCAGCGACCCCAGCCTCCAAAGTACTCTCACTTTGAGTGATCACTCAAAAATGTGGGAAGATTAGTGAAATCAGCAGTTCTGTCCAGAATACCGCCCCCAAACCTGGGCTGGGCTGACCAGCCAGGGGGTTGATGATGGGGAGGGTAGCTGATGACGGCTAAGGGAGCCTCCCCACTCCCTCTGCCTTTCTCCCTTTCCTCCCCACCAGCCCCCACAGCAGGGCCAGCTGTTCTCCAGCTGCCAGAGGCTCCCACCCTAGAAGTGGCCCTGCTTTTGTTGGGACCAGAGAGAGGAACGGGATGCCTCCTCCATCTCCCGTCCAAGGACCCCTGAGGGACCCTGCCTGGTGGCCACACCCTGCCAGGCTGGGGAGGGAATAATACCCTCTTCCCTGGAGTAGGGTCGGGATTTTTACAGGCGGAAACAATTTGCAGAGCCCACTAGGAGGGAGGTGGGGGGCCTCCTCCCCTCTCCCCCGCTCATTAATGTGCTTCCAATTTGGGAATCAAGACTGTGCCACACGCCCCCATACTCAGGGCACAGGCTTCTCAGGGAGTAGAGGGGCTGGCCAGCCCCCCGGGCTTCCTTCTCCAAAGCTCCTCCTCACTGTCAGCATGCACCCCACCCCAAGGAGTTGTAGGAGGGTGGGAAGGTAAAGACTCAGAGCCCTCAAACCTTTTGCAGAGAGAAAGGGCCCGGTTCCCAGACCTCCCTTCGCCCTCATCATGAGATTCTGTCCTGTCTCCTCATCTTATCTCAGACCAGTGAAGGCCAGGTATCCAAGTTGGTGGGGACAGAGATGCAGTTAATGGGCAACTTGGGAAACAGGGTTCCACGGTTCTCAATTAACCTGTCAGCACCTCTACTCCCACCAGCCTGCCTCAACCCAAACCCCTTGTACTCTGTCACAGACTGAGGTGCCACCAGTCACTCAATGAATCCCCCCATCATGAGTCACAATATCATCTATAAACACACAGGCTTTCTCTGGGCTCCTTCTCTCTCTCTCTTACATACACAATCCTCTTCACAGACACCGTCTTTCACGTTCACTATTACATGTATCTCTCCCCACCCCCTTTTTTAAAAATTTTATTGTGAGGAAATACACGTAACATTAAATTTATTATTTTAACCATTTTTAAGTGGCATTAAGTGCATTCCTTGTTGTTTTGAACAGTTGTTTTTCATGGTCCCCCATACAGACACCACATGCATCAGGGTCACAGGCCCCCAAATTAGTCACACACAGTATCCCACTCTATATCTGGCGCAGCCTGAACGATGTCGCCCACACTGTCCTACAGTCCCAAACAATCTCAGATAGTGACCACCCACAGAGGCAGTCTCAGTCACACCCCACAGTTTCTCTTACACGCAGCACACACATGCAGTTTCTTTCTTGTGCTCAGTTTCATCCTACACACCTTATTTCACACTCAGCTTATCACAACAGCTTCTCAGCACACTTATAGTGTATTGGATATAGTCTACCATGTCACAATGGTTTCTCCCTTACACACATGCACACACACACCATACTGTCATAGTTTTTCTCATACATAGTGTCACATACAGTCACACACACAGATCCTCAGAGTTTCTATAAACCTGAGATCATCTCATATGCTGTTCGCACACATGTAGCATCATAAAGAGTCATGCCACAGCATCATATATCACACAGAAGGTCATTCATTCTACTTCTGACACACACAGCATCATACAATTGCAGTGTCCCTCGCACATGTAGAGCATCAAAATCCCAACCAGTATCAGACACAGGCTCATACTCATGGTTTGATAGGCTCATACTGATATGTCTTTCATAAACACATCCCGTGTGATGGCCATGCACACAGCTGCACACTAAGAACATCATTTGGTTTTTCTCATGTATGTGCTATATCAGTCATACACAGAGACTGTCAGTTTCTTTCACACACATGAATGTTAAAAAGTCACAATGTCACATACAGTTTCTCTTGTGCATGTCCAGCCTCACATGCAGTCACATACACAAACTGGTTTTACCTGGTTGTCTCTCACACACATATCCATCCCACACACAGTTTCACCCACACAGAATGTCCCACTCGGTTCCCCTCACACACATCCAGCGTCACACACAGTTGCACTCTCATTTCCCTCTATCACTTCCTGTCCTTTCAGGCCTGGCAGGGAGTACAGGAAACAATCAGCACTCTAGGAAACCTCAAAGGCTGAAGCTTAAGGGATCCTCAGAGTGATAGGATTCTCTGGCCCCTGCCTACAGCCTCCTGTGGGACCCTGAGAGAACAGGCAGAGCCCTCTCCCATCCAGTGTCCTCTCTGGAGGAGCAGCACCTCTCTTGCAGACAACTCTAGGCTGGCACAACACCAGGAGGGAGGGGAGGGCAAGGCAAGGCCATGGGGACAGAGCCAAGTGTGATCTGTTGACCTCTGCTCCAGGTCTGACCAGAGAAGTTCCTGCCATGGCCCCAGGGCTGCCCCTAGGTCCCCGGATACCTGGGTCCTCAAGGCCACCCCTGGGACCCAACAGCTTCTGCAGCTCCCATGTGGGAAGAAGGGAGTGTGATCTCTGAGCCACAGTCACAGAAAGCTGCAGCATATAGAGCCATCATGGCTCCCCAGCTCCCTGTGGCCTGGCACTACCAGCCTTTTTCCTGCTTTCCTCACTGTGAGTAGAACCCTCTGCTCCTCTCCCCTTCCTGAGAAGGTGGGCAGGGCTGATAGCTTCGGCGCCCTTCCAGCTTAACACTGAGCCCCTAGAGGGGTCTGGGAGTCAGGCAGGGGGGCCCGCCATCCAAGTGGCCTCTGAATACCATTCATCCCATCTAGCTTTGCCAGACCTACTACCACCACTTCAGAGGGCAAGTTCCCCAACTCCACCTGGCCTCCCCGTCCCTCGACGCCTGCTGCCTGCAACTTTTTCAGCTGCGCTCACCTGGTTTAGTTACTCCTCAGTCACCCCTAATCTGTCCTCATTTTCTTCCTTAGACCATGGGATCACCCACTCACTTCTCCAGACCCCATCAGGTTTAGATTCCATAATGGGAGGAGAAGGAAGGCCAGCTGACTAGGAGACAGAGACTCTGGGAGAAGCTCAGAGAAAAGAGACCTGAGAAGTCATTTATTCCAAGCAGGGAAACTGAAGCCCAAAGAAAGAGGCCCACCAAGATGACACAGCTGATTAAAGGTCCAGCTGGGAACAGATCTCTAATTGCTTTACCTCTTCTTTTGATGTTTCCTTCTGGTTTTAATATTTCCTCAACGGGCAGGATGTACCAGGGTTTGCAAACCTGAGGGTGAGGGTGGGAGCAGGGCTCAAGACACATACGCATAGCTCTGTCCTGCCAATCACTGACCATCCTACTCAGTCATTCCGAAGCCCAGATGCACTAATTAACATTAATTACTGTTCCTTCCCTATGGGACTGGGGGAATGCCCAAGTGGTTGAGATTTCTATGGGCTCCCAGCCTCTTTCTGAGGAGGGGGCATCCAGGGCCCATGAAGTCACTTTCACCAGATATCCTATTTTCTAGATGATACATCTGTCCATCCCCTGCCCACAGGGTGAGCAGGAATCCAGAAGCCTACAAGGATCCAGAAACATGTCCTGGGGCGGTACCCTTGCAAAAAGAGCTACAAAAATCTGGAAGGGAAGAGGACATAATTCCCCCAAATCTCCAACTTTTGGGCATTTTGAATTTCTCTCCTTTCCCCAGGCTACCCTTAGCATTCCAATCAAGGAGGTGTCTGCACTGGGGTGGAACGTGTACACAGAACCAGGCCAAAGGAGATGGGACACATAGCTGCCACGGGCACCAGCCCCTCTGGGCTGTGTCCAGCCCCCACCCCCATCCCCTGATCTCCTGGGCTACAAGTCCAGGCCTGACCTGGTTCTGCCTCTACCTAGAGAAAGGAAAGACACAGAGGGAGGTGCCCCCTGAGAAGCCCTCCCCCAGGGCTCATTCCCCCTTGCCCAGAAAGAATCTCTCAGATCTGGATCAGGGCTCCTCTCTCAGAAAAGTGACAGAGTGGGGTCTCAATGACAGAGCCTGGCTAGGCTGGAAACCAGATGCAGACAGGCACTCCAGCCTTCCTTCCCCAGGCAGGAGTAAAGGGCATGACAGACAATGGTGGTGGTGGCGGTGGTGGCGGGGACAAGCTGCCTTCAAACCTTCTAAAGTTTAAACAAGGGCTCTGAGAAAGTGTGGCAAAGAGAAGGCCCCAAATCCAGCCCCCTTTGGAGTCGGGCTCATAGCGTCAGGGCTGGAACGCCGAACCTCCACCCCGACACAGGCAGCATAAGCATAACTGGAGAGAACTTAAGCCCCTGCCTCTCGGGGGGCACACGCCCTGGGCGCGCAGCTTTGCTCCCAGACAGCCTCCACAATCCAGCGAAGCCGTGGGCACCGCGCGCAGGAGCCTGCCTGGGCGCCGAGAGGCCCGGCCCGAGGCCTGCGTGGAGCTGGGGCCAGGCGGGCTCCGGGAGAGAGCGCAAGCCGGGAGTCCAAAGGGCGGCAGGGCCCGGGACTGGGCGCCCTGGGTAATGAGCTCCCCTGTGGCAGGCCCCCCCCAAGTCGTGCGGCCCCCAGACTGCTGCTTTGACATCCCAAACGCGGACGTTCGGACAGGCGATGGCACCGGGGACAATCTCCCGGCTCCCCTACCTCCTCTGACCAACTCATACCGGTCGCGGGAGGGGGGACGGTGGGAGGGGTGGGCGGGGCTTCCCGGAGAGCTCTCCCCCCCCACACTTTCCCTCTAAACTTCCCGGCACCCAAATCCGGGGCTCCGGTTGAGGCTGGACAATAGCTCGGGGACCCAGCCCCAGTCAAGTGTGTCCCCCCCCAATCCATAACCAACCAGCCAACCAAACCACCTCTCCCAGCCTGGCCTCCTCCCAGCGTCCGCCGGGCTTACCTGGTCCGAGCTCGCGGGGGCGCTCCGACCGGGCCGCTCCGCGGGGCCCGAGGGAGCTGAGAGGGGG